GGATCCGGTAACTATTGATTTCCTTTGGGAATACGTTAAAAAAAAAAAAAAAAAAACCTATATAATAATATTATTATAATATTATAATACATAATATAAGACACGGTCGTGTCGACGACTAAGTCGCAAAGGCCGACGAGCATCGATGCACAACGATAATATTACAATAATGTTTGCACGTAATATAATAATAATCATAACATTATGATATAGTAAGAGTCTGTCTGTCTACATATGTCTGTCTGTCTGTCTGTCTTCTGTCCGCCCGTCTGTCTGTCTACAGTTTGACCGATAGCCGTGTGGAGGCGGCGGCAGTAGAGTTTGACGTGGCGGCTGCGGCCGTGGTCGCGGCGCCGGACGACTTGACCGTCGAACCTTTGCCGTTGCCGCCGCCGCTGCTGGTGCTGCTGCTGCTGTTGTTGTTGTTGTTGTTGTTGTTGTTGTTGGCCGCGGCCGGAGACGACAGCGTGTCCGAGGCCACGCTGCCCGAGTGACTGTTCCGGCTGTACCAGTCGGCCACGATGCCGCTCTCGGTCGACTGGCTGGAACACTGACTGGTCTGCCGGGCGCCCTCGCTACTCCGACAGCTCGCTCCGCTGCTGCTGCTGCTGCCACTGCTGCTGTTGCTGCTGCCCGCGCTGCTGCTGCTCACCGATATGATCGAGTGCGGACGTTTGGCGATCGAATCCAGGTCCGAGGGCAACGCCACTATCGAGTTGCGGAACCTTGGGGCAGCTGAAAAACGAAACGTAGTCCGGTTTAGCGGGGAGGGGCGAGTAATAAATATAAAATACGTCGTCCGGTGTGAACCGTAGTCTGTCCCAAAAATAAAGGCGTTAGGTCGTAATTTTTTTTTTTCCCCGAAAGCAGTCTAACTAGTAAACAGTTAATATCTTTGCGCACGTCGGTACAACTATTTAAGTATTTACCTTTATTTTATCTCCCCGTTTTAAATATAATATATATATATATATATATATATATATATATTATATATGCGTATAAGGTAATCGCGGTTTATACCGTATGGTGCGGAAGTGCAGCCGGAGAATTGAATAATACCATTCGTGTATTTAGGGCGGTTAAGTCAGTAGCGCTACAACTTTATACACAGCTACACTATCAGTTGTATAATTCACAGGTTTTATTTAAACAAAAAATCGGTATAGTATAAGTATAAGTAGGACGCCCGAAAAACTGTTCGATTTGACGATCAAACCGTTCGCATTCCGAAGGAAACCAGCGCGTTCGGCGTATAGCTGATGTGTATATTAATCATTTATAGGCGGACCGCGACTTAAAATAGTTATGTACTAAATACAGAGCTGCCACTCACTTTTACTGAGCTGCGCGAACGTGATGGATCGATCGTTGATTTGATCCGCACTCGGCCGGATGTCCAAACAGGGTTTGTTGCCAATTCCCATAGAAGACATTTCCGCCAGCCTAACCTCTGCAATGAATAACAATGTGTGAGCATATTACTATTATGTATTGACCGATATCGCAGTGCGGGCGGTACGCGACATCAACGATTTGTCATCATTGTCGTCGTACCGTACATTTCGTACACACAAAATACGAAATTAAACCGACCGACGTCTTGTACCTATAACGTCACTCTTTTCCGAGTTCCGGTAGTACGTACCTCTGTTTCGTAGCGCCTGTTTCCACAACAAGTTGGACAGCTCATCGGTCCACGCCTGTTTGATGTCCTCGGACATGGACACCAACGTGTACGTGTCGCCCGGTTTGCGTTTTCGGAACCATATTTCAAATTTCGTGTTGCTATCGCCGACTTTGGCGGTGAACCCGATGTCACTGGTTTTTATACTGTTCTTGTACACGTACAAGTCCAGATTCTGTGATAGTTTAAAAAAAAAAAAACTTCAAATGAAATAACTTTTTTATTATTATATAAGGCGACGGGCTAGTTATAACCAGGTATGATGACCCACAGAGTCACTCGGTTAAAGACGACCACGTGCGTTGTTTACCGTTCTCCGCGATCACGCGTACTCACCGTTTGGTCGGGGAATCGTCTGGCCTTGCTAAACAGTATCAGCTCCTCGAACAGAAATACTTGTCGCAGGCACTTCTTGCCTTTGCCCTGCCACACGAGGAACTCGTTCTGCCGCAAAAGTCGGCCCTGCTCCTTAAGGTTGACATCGCACTCCCGGAGCGAGTCCATGGCCAGCAGGTCGTTGCCGTGCCGCAACTGGAACCTGACCATGTTCTCGGCAAGCCGTAGGTGTTCCGTGTCACCTTTAGCCATCTTCATGAGCTGCTGTAATAACAGCGCATATTTGCCCATCCTCTGCACTGGCTTCAACAAGTAACTGGCCAAGTCCATTCGGTCGCGGAGTTCTAATTGTTTTGCCTGTAATAATGTATTAGTCATATGAGTACAAAAATGATACACGAAAATAATCATTTGTCAAAAGTATTGACGAAAAAACAGTAAAATAACCACACCAACCTTAAAGAATGCAGAACCATACTCGGACATCAGCGAATCCGAATTTGGTTTGTTCTTGTTGTATAACGCGTACAAATAAAATTTCTTTTCCTGTACGAATAAAAATAACACGATTAATGCCAAAATTCATATTCGTATTTTATTCGGGTAATATTATTTTTGCATAGTGTATATGGTGTACTTACGTGTTTTAGAAAAGATTCTCCCACTTGCAATGGACAGTTTTCGTGTCTTTCCAGCTCTTTGAGGAAGTGTTGGCTGTGGAACTCGTAGATCTTTTCGATGTTACCGAAAATCACGTTGCGCTGGCCGCGCAGGGCTTGTGGTATGTTTTCATTGAGCAACATCGGAACGTAGTTTTCTATGACGTATTCTAGTGACTTGACATAATCCCGCTCGGTCTGTATCATTTCTCTCATGATCAGCTTGACGGTTCTGCAAAAACCACCACGCGCAATGTTAACGTTTAGTTTACTCCCACGCTATTAAAATATTTATACACGGCCGGTACTCACTTTTGTAACTTAAGCGTCTGTGTGCCGCAATCCATGTTCAACTGTAAGTTGGACATGTGGTGCAGATGACTGTTGACGGACAAAGGCGGTAAACTTTGATTTTTGCTGCAACCGAGATCGGGACAATTAGTGTCGTCGCTTTCTTCATTACTGTATACACACAAAGAATATATTATTTAAAATTGTCGAGTGTTCGTTAAAATTGAAATTGTATAGACATAAATGTCAAAAAAATTTAATATTTTTAAAAAAAATATGTTGTTTTATTTTTAACATTTTAACGAAATGACCGTGTGACGGTCTTTAATTTGGATGACGAAAGTACGATTAGTTACAATAAAAATCAAAATATTTAAAATATTTTACATGAACAAGAGTTTTGTGTTGATTTTATCTCGTGGGATGAGTCATGAATCCACAGATACAATAATATTGTGAACCCTACTTTAAATTACATTCAATATATATTGTCATATAGATAACATTTTATAAGCATTTAAGTTAAATATTTTAAGCGTTATTTATAATATAAAAATATGAACATTCTACAAAAGCCAATATTCATAAAATTGTACATTTATATGCTTAGATACTTTATTTAGATTCCTTTAGTATCACAAATTGTATTTCTATTTAAAACCAAATATTTGTTAAACCATCCAAAATAAAACATACAAATTCTAGAACTCTAGAAGTATAGTAAAAATATTTATAAAACCATAAATCTAAAAAAATAAATATTTATGGTACTGTTTGAAATGCTGAGATATTAATAAATATATTAATTTGCGGCAATCGTTTTTTGTTTTGTTTGCCATAAGAGTTAATTTGTTGTTTAAAATTATCACCTCTTATTTTCATCACTCCCTTCGGTCGTGTGAGAGCAGCTCAGTTTTTCCTCGTCTTCTTCATCATTGTAAGTCCAATTGGCAGACGGGATATGACTGAGCGCGAGCCGGTCTGTCTCGCAATAAAAGTTTTCTTCCGTAGCGCCTACCCAACCACAATGGTGGTTGTCTGCCGTCGAGTTACCATTTGTTGTATGGTGCTCTGGTGCGGACGTCCTTCTGGATGGCAGGGGAGTACTAGTCGGGAATGTTTCAGGACCCAACAAGTGCTTCAGTTGGTCGTTGGTCTCTTCGCATCTTACCATAGCCACCTATAATAAAACACCAAAGTATTTAAAAATACTGTTTGTCAGAGTACGTTAATATAACAGGTAACACGATCGTCGTTACCTTGCACTGTTTGATTAGTTTATCATTGTTAAGCTTGTTGGCCAACATCATCATCTCCGAGAAGTGTTGAGCAGTAGGAGATGGATGTGCCATTAAGTATTTTCGCAGTTCTTTAACGTTACGTGTGTCGTGCTTTTCAGATATGTACTTCATACATTCTAAAGCCCAATCGTAAGCCTGTGAAAATTGTATACCAAATTAATACTATAATTTTAAATATAATTTATTATAATAATACGAATTATTCGTAAACCGATTCACGTAGATAACCCTTTTAATTTTTTCCGTCAATAAATACTAAAAACCCCGTTAATGCATTTGTCTATTTCATATTACGTTTTACTGTCTACATTTTGTATAGTAACTTTATTGATCTTTAGTTTAACTCAAATTAAATTTCAAATCAATTTAATTAAAACCCTTTCAAATGTTTTATTATAATTATACCTCATATTATTTTAGAATAATTTGTATAATTCTAAAACTAAACACATAAGATTATAGTCTATACCTTATCGAGTAAGTAAAAACAGCGTGATGTATCTTCGAGTCTCTCACGAGTCTCTTCAAGTCGATCACTAAAACCTCTTAAATGCTGCTTTAGAGATTTGGCCAGATCTTTTAGACTGGTCCCATTGCTGCATTGGCCTGCTTCTTCCAACAAATCTCCGGCTTTATCGAGATTTTGCTGTAAAAATAAAATAAGAAATTCCAGATAAAAAGTGTACTTACACTACTTAAATAATATACATTAGTATCAATATATTTTTATTTTTAAACTAATTAGCTGTAAATATGATGTATTAAAATTTGATGCAATAAAAGTAGTTATTCCCAAGCAATTTAACGTTTAATTAATACCTAAAGAAATTATTTACATTATTCATAAATTCTAAATGTATTAGTATTTTAAAGAATATTCGTCGATAATATGAGGCCAAATTGTACCTACATAAAAATATGTAATTAGCTACGTAATTCAAAGTTTACGTTTCCGTAAAGAAACATTTAACAATAAAATATAATTATTTACACAAACATACATCGGTATATTACAAATTACTTTAAGGTTTATCATGTAAATTTAATGTTTCAGAAATGACAACAAATATAATATTTGTATGTATTATTAACAAATGATATTTGATAATAATGAGTAATTATAAATAAAAAAAAACCAAATACAAAATACAAAATGTATTTTCATATAATAATGTGACGTAAACATACAATATTTTAATAACATGCACGTCATACATATTGGTTGTAACACTTAATAAAATATTTGATAGTATGTTTTAAAAATTGTTTTTATTGTTTGTTAAAACACGAATGTGATGAAATTCCTTCAACAAGGTTGTACATTTTTCTCTAAAATACGTTTTGTGAAAATGTACAAAGCCAGAAAATTCAACAATCGCCTTACGTAATAATAATTATAATACTTGCAGGTTAAATGAACAATAGTACCTATAACTAGAACCTTAAATTGTACTATGATAGTTAGATTATCAAAAATCTGAGTTATTAAATTGAAAAAAAAATGACTGACAACATTGCAACTATATTCTTTTTTGTAATATTTTTTATTGAAACATATAAATACCTATATGTAGAGGTAGATATAATATTTTTACAACTAAGAAAATTGTATAAGCCACCGTCAGACCTACAGTACAATTCAAATTTTCAACAATACTATAGTAGAATACTAAAGATTTCAACTGAAGATGGTACGTGGCTAACTTGAAAGTTTCAAAGACCAAATTAGATCATTAATTTGTCAACTGGTCTAATAGATGTGAGTTATAATGATAAATACAAATTCTGTAGGTGAACGAAATTCTATATACTAAAATTACTATCGGTTTTGGACTTGTGATCTTTAATTTCATACCAGACGATAAACTTACAATTATTTACGAAATAAACTCTATAACTCATTTTTCTGCTGTAATTTAGAAAAATGCGGGGGCTAACTTAACAAACATACTTCTCTGTGCTAAAGCTGTTTTTGAAACGTATTTTAATAGCTAAATGTATTAAACATTTAATACTATATATTTAAAATACGTATTAGTATGTATGACAATGACGGATACAAAAATTCACATTTTTTATACAGCGCAGGTACGCACAAAAGATCAATTAATCAATTCTGTTTTGCGAACACTGCACATTTAAGTACAGTACTCCAAAAACGTTACTCAGCAAAAAATTAAACTACGGCTTAGTTGGAAATTATTCATGTGTGGCCCTAAGTCCGATTATATATATATATCACGTCAAAAATTTTTGTAATTTAGTTATTTAGAAACTTATACATATTTTAACTTTACTTTAAATACAAGTCTAGAACTATAGAAAAAATAATGTGATACAATTATAATGTATACACCACATCATTATACAGTATATCTATGTATGATCTGTATCATTTAATGAGTTGCAGTAATGATAGACATACGCGAGAAAAGATCAAACAATATTCATGTAGATTTGGGTCGTGTGAAAATTCTAATAGAACACTCTATTGAAATTATTTATCCTGTGAATAACGTAGAAACTAATAATAGTTAGACAAAGATGAGTTGTAAATACTTGGAACAGTAGATCAGTTGGACATTTCGCAAATGTGCATGTTTTATGTAATTTTACGCGTGTAAAACATAATACCGATTCGTTTTTAACATTTTGCCTATTTAAATATACATATTTTCAAGGATTTCTACAGGTAAAAAGTGCTTATGAAAACATTTTATGGTATTTATATTATTTTAAAGCTATTTTAGATACCTTTAGAAATACTCACGGATTAAAATATTCACTAGAAGTCCGTACAGAGGAGAAAAAGCGGAAAGTCGAGTCGACTTATTTTTATATTTTAAACCTCATGATTTGTTTAAATGAGCCTGTTTAATCGAAGCGTATTTTTATTTTTTAACATAGAATAATACCAACGCGTGTAAACGATTGGAATACGCGAATCGCGTCGGCCAAAAATATCTTATTGGGTGTTTGTGTGGGAAAAAAACCTATTACGAACCCGCTGTGCTTTATTATTTGATATTGATACTATTGGACGTAGGCGAACTTGAATGAAACGTAATAATTGATCAAATTATTAATTTATTAATGTGGGCTTTCTGAGCAAAATTTGTTATCTCAAAGTATCAAACTGTTCGACATAGAAATTTTAAACTTAAAATTGTTCAATCTTCTTTCGCAACAAATTATTTTTAATATTTAACAAATTTCAAGTAAAAAAAAAAACCAAAATTAAAGCCTATTAGTTATGAGTGTTGAGGCTATATTTTTTCACAAATTGGGCCTTTTTTCTAAATTAAATATATATATGTATGTTTTCCAGGAATGTATTCCGTTAAATAAAAAATAATTTGACGTGTTGTTAAAAACAAAAGATTATTACTTTAGTAATAAGATAGTACTTTTTAGTTACAACTAATTTATTTCATAATATAGATCAAAATAATTTAGATCATTATACTAAACATAAAACTTGTATGAATTGATAGACAAGTAAAATCATTAAGTTATCAATAATCCTTTAAATAATGTGCTAAATGTTTGTTTATATTATCTTGAACTATAGATGACATATATTAGTTTATAATCTAATATAATCATAAAAAAATCCTTTTCAAAGTATCATACAGGTAAGCATCTCTCAGTTTTAAGCCCACCAATTGACTTCCACAACCTACTCTACTAAGTTTATAGGACTTAGTGAAGGTCTACCTTTCTTCATTAAATTTTGTAAATTAAAATATTTTGATAAGGTAAACGAACACTTATGACAACAACAAAAAAAAAAAAATGCTCGACGAAAAATGAAATAGTCGAACACTTTTTTTATTAAATATTCTAATTTAGACACGAAGGCTGATTAGTACGAAATTGGATTAGTTTTGTTAACTATACAAGGTTCGTTATCATAACGGAATGTAGTGAAAGCAAATAAGACGGGTGAATTAATGGATCTTCGGCGATTGTCATTTATTTTGATCGCATTAAATCATATACGACGTATCAACCGACAACCGGAATAATTACTAATTGGTGTGCTCATATTATAATACATATTGGTGTAAATCTAACAAATAGTGATAATAATAGAAATGATGAATAAAAAAAAAAAAAAAAAAGCGATTAAGAAATTGTTTTCTTTCGTTAGGTATGAGATTATGTCGATTAGAATGTGTGGGTTAACGACCGGCTCTTTTTTAGATATATGAATGAGTAAACGTGAACGTGTCCCGTGGAAAGGGTTCGCGTAATCGTACAATATAATAATACATATAAGCACATCACATACAATAGACGTCGGGACATCATCGTCGTATTCTATTATGTTACGTATATTATTATGCGCATGATAATATACGGCTGTTGTAGTCGACCACGTTTCGATACGTTTTTTCGATAAAAAACCGTAGATAGCGATACTGTAAATGGGTTTATAATAAATAATATAATAATTATTATCACCGTCGTAAAACGTATCATCGTACACCGTTTACAATACAATATAATATTTAAATTGAATACACGGCGAGCGAACGAGAGGCCCGAACGAGCGCGTGGAACCGATGCAGGTAATTATTACGGCGTCGACTGCAGTATAAAGCAGTCGCAGAGCAGGACAAAATCGTACCGACGACGACACACGATATCGTTTATTATTATTATTATTATTATTATAATATTATATTTTAATGCACGTCATATTATTATCGTAGGTATCATATCGTTATATCGTACACACGTGTGTAACACAAATACACAATGTACGTAATAATAATAATAATAATAATAATAATAATAATAATAAGTATATCGTGTATAATGCCTTCGCATTATACAGGTTTGTACTATATTTCCATATACATTATAATATTATATTATCGTATGTATACCTATACACGCGAGTCGATTAATAAAATGTACGCGCGGACAGTGGTGTTTCAAAACACACATTCGGACATTATAATACGTGTTAAATATATTTTATATATATATATATATATATGTGTGTGTGTGTATAGGCTGCATCAGCATCGGCTTTAGGCGTTATTAAGGTCATCGAGCGCTCACACTATCTATATATGTATACCTATTTTTTATACGTTCGTATTGCATTATACTCTGGTGGCAACTGAACGCGCAGGTATATCATGTATTATTAATATATATATATGTTCTACATGTAATAAAATAGTTCGGGGCACGGACCGACACCGGACCGGACAAATCCAACCGATGTGGTCACGAGCGGCGCGCTGTGAAGTAACGAGTAGGTGGTAGATTGGCAGGCGGGCGAGCGGGCTGCAGGCAAACGTAGGTACCATATTAAATTAAAATATGATATCATGATATTGCGTTTATATATATTATGATATCCACGGTGGCCCGCGGACGTATTGCGCGTGGAATTTTGTCTCGTATTTGGGTACTTATATGCAATATTGTACACCTAAATTTATATCATGATAATGTTATTATGCCCGTTGCGTATTATAAGCCCGTATTTACGCATATTGTTTTATTCTACTCTTACCCGCGTGTTTATATTATTATTATTATGCCATGCTGTCGGACGACGCCTTGCCTGCGACGTTTCGACGTGCGATTCACTAAAGTGTCGGATATTCTGTGATGATAATATGT